CCAAAAAGAAAGATTTTACAGTACCACGCATAATTGGATCTAGCTAGGGTGAACCTAATTTATTTATTGATTAATTGCATTATTCAATTAGTATGTACTGCTAAGTGGGTAGTTTTGATGTTGTTGAAATTGGTGAGCTAAGCATGGATTTTTACCTAGAATGTTTAATTGATTGTTGGAATATACAAAGTGTGAATTTTTATAATTAAAATGATTTGTTTATTTGAGTAATTTTTAATTGACTGTTTGAGTACATCAATACATGCATTAAATTAATAGTAGATTACGAATTTGGTGTGTTGTTGCTAAACTGAGTTCATAAACACAGGGTTGTAGAAGTTAAAGTTCCTGCCTTTATTGATATGCGCATGTGATATGGGGGAAGTTTGAAACTAGGCTTAACGTTGTTTATTAGACTAGAGGGAGTATGCTTTTAGAAGGTCAAGTGAAAACTAGAAATTTCAACATGAGTTTCTTAAATAAGTTTGTGATGAGAAACTTTAAAGTGAAGTTTGGGGAGTATAAGATATGGTGCAGGAGGTTTAGGAAGAATCTTACTATAGGGAGGAAAGTGATGACAGAAGACAGTGATGTGGAAAAGCTTTTAAAAAGCATATACAAGTCAGACATGGTAACTATGTATGTGGTGTTTGAAGTAGATAATTGGGAAAAGTTAAATGTGGGGCTTGTGAATCCAATTCAAATATTGATAGGTGGTGGAGAAACAACCAATGTTAATGAAAAAGCTTTGTCATCACCAGCCAAACAACCTTCCCTAGAAAACCCTACTAAAAATCAATCACCCCACCTGTCTATCAGAAAAGAAAAGCATCTAGCCTCAACAAACCCTAAATTCAAACTTCCCAAACATGATTTCAGGCCAAAACTGCCAATTAGAAGAAGACTGATACCTGACTCCTCTACTTCTTCACCAAGTGTTCTCGGTAAACTAGAAGAAGCAGTAGTGATTACAAAGAGGGAGTACTTGAAAGGGTTATATGGAGTGAGAAAGCAGCAACAGTAAGAGGCGGATTTAGCTTATGTAGAGCCAACAGCTGGTAGTCAAGAGGTGGAGTTGTCTTCAACTTCTGGGAAAAATGTTACCTGCCCTAGATTTGCTTCAAAGAAGAGGAAGCATATAGCTACTAAGGACAAGGGAAAGTGCAACAGTAAGGATAAGGGGAAGGGCAAGAGTAAGGATAAGGGGAAAGGGAAGTGTTCTGATCCTAACTATGTAATCAGAGCAGAAGAAGAGGAAGGCAGTGAGTCTGATGCTCCTTTGTAATAAGAAGATTTAGAGGAATAGGTGGATGAAGATTTGTTTACTAGGGGCTTAAGAGAGGAGATACTTGAAGGAGTAAACAGTTCACTAGGGCAGGCAGCTGAAGTTTCAACAAGACTCACTAGGAGTAGTACAGCAAGACTTAATAAATACCTTGAGGGTGGGTTAAATTTGGATGATGAGGTTGAATATGATTTAGAAGAACCTAGTATCCTAGATGGATTAGATGATGAGGTGGACAACTGTCCTGTATTCAATGTAGAAACTAATTTTAACCATCCAATTAGGTTGATATTGGGTTTAAGGTTTGATTTTGTTGAGATCTTTAGAAAAGCACTTAGGCAGCATGCTGTTGAGAACAAGTATGATTACTACTATATTCATAATGGGAAGAAAGTAGTGACCACTTACTGTAAGCAAAGGTGCAAGTGCCCTTAGGATCCTAAAAGATCCAAGAAGCAAGCTTGTACTTGTGGAGAAGTACTCTGTAACTTCAAAGTTTAAGGGAAAAAGAAAAGATTGGAAGACACATTTCTGATCACAAGAATGAGGCTTAAGCACAACTGTAGAACTGATGAAAGGAATAAGAGGGTTTTTGCACAATATTTGGCTGAAAAATACCTTGAGGATTGGAGAAGTGACCCAGATTGACATCTCATAAAGGGTTTTGGTGAGAGAGTGTTAAGGGAAACAGGAGTGTTATGTGATTATTACAAATTGTGCTATGTTAGGGCTCAAGCAAAGTTAATGTTGTATGGTTATGGGGTGGAGTAGTATAAGGCTGTTTGGGACTATGTTGGTGCCATTAAGAAGTACAATGAGGGGAATATGGCAATATGTATGTGTGACAACATAGACAGACCACCACCAACTTTTCAAAGGATGTTCATTTGCTTGAAACCTGTCATGGAAGGGTTTCAAATGGGATGTAGGCCATTGATATGATTAGATGGGTGTCATCTAACTGGAGCATACCTAGGAATTTGTTTAGTTGCAGTATCATCTGATGGGAACAACAACGTTTATCCCCTTGCTTGGGGTGTTAATGAGGTTGAGAAGACATATTCTTGGATATGGTTTCCAGGCTTGTTGGCTTCTGCTCTTGGGACAATTGATGGACATGGTTATACTTTCATGTCAGACGGACAGAAAGTAAGCGTCTCATTGCTCTCTCTCCCTTTTATTTTTGTGCTTGTTTCAAGTAAGTTTAGTTAACCCTAATTTGTTGTTCATTTATGTAGGGACTACTTGAAACATTTAGAATTGTTGTGCCAAAAGCTGAAGTTAGATTCTATTGGAGAGATATCTAGAACAACTTTAAGCAAAAATAGAATGGACTTGCATACAAGGAGTTGCTATGGCAAGCTGCTAAAGCAACAACCAAGGTATGACATCTAACTATTACAAGTTAAAGCTACTTGTTTGACTTACTGTATTACATGCATTTAGCTTAAATTTTCTAACTTATTTGTTTTAGTTGTTATGTGAGTGTCTTGGATAAATATCTTATGCTTTTATATATACTTATTGCATCAATTGGATTTTGATGCACACATGCTGACTCTTAAAGGTATGTTAGAGGCTGCACATGCTTACATGGCTGCTATTCCACCTCAATGTTGGAGTAGACATGCCTTCTCTACCACTCCTAAGTAAAAAATGTTACTAAACAATATGTGTGAGAGTTTTAATAATGTATTAAAGCAAGCTAAGGACAAGCCTATCCTAACACATATGGAGTGGATGAGAAGGTATGTGATGCAAAGAAACTGTTAAAAGAGAGAAGGAGTGCAAGAAGTGTCTGGTAGGTTCATGCCATATGTGAAAAAAACAGTTTGACTGGGCTGAGAGAATAAGAAAGTAAAACATTGTCACTAGAAGCACTGAGGAATTATTTGAACTTCAGAACAACACCAATAGGTTTCTAATTGATCTTGGGGCACAAACATGTACTTGTTACAGCTGGCAATTAACACATGGTTATGCTTGCATCTTGTACATGAGAAGTGATCCAGAAGACTATGTTGATGATGTGTACTCTAAGAACAGATACAGAGCTACATATGATCCGATGATACCTCCTATGCTTGGTCCAAAGTAGTGGGAGAAGACTCCTTACCCAGAACCTATTCCTCCACCCTTCAAGAAGATGTCAAGAAGGCCTTCAAAGAACAAGAGAAAGAAACAAGCAGGGGAAGATGCTGAGAAGGTTGCTGAAGAAGCTCAGCAAAAGTTGAGGTTGGGTAGGAACCCTAGGAAATGTCCAACTGCAAGCAATTTGGTCACAACAGCAAAACTTGCAAGAATGAGTATGCTAACTCACCACCTCCAGAACCAAATAACAAGGGAGGCAAGCCATTCTCAAATGACCCTTGGGTTATTAAAGACAGGCAAAAAGAGCACAAGGGAAAGGGAGGGGAAAGGCAACCAAGAACAAGGGAGCCAAGCCATTCTCAAATGACCCTTGTGTTTGTGTTTTTTTTTTCCCAAATTCAGTTCATGACTATTTTTTTCATTTTCCACCAGCAACAAACAACAACACAACAAATAACTCAGGATGTTGTGGTGGACATCTCTTCTCAAGCTTTAAATATTACCTCTGCAAGCCCTCCCAACACCAAAGCAGCCCAAGCCATTATGTGGGAAATTAAATCAGTTTATTCAAGTGCTTTGACTTTTGTAATTTGCAATTTGCTTAAACTTATTTCTGATGCAAGTTGTTGACAATACATTCATCCAATTTGCTAAAATTTGCAACTTTTGACTTTTGTAATTTACTTTTATAACAACCATTAACTACATTTATGTATGGTTTTAAGCATTAATTATTGATGAAATTTGTCTATATCAGTCTATGATACATTTTTAACCATCAACACACACAAAATAAGCATAAATATGTCAATAATCTTGCAGTTCATTCAAAACCAAATTTGTTACAAATTATTTTGGCCTTAGCATACCCTACATAACTAACTTCACCATCATCACTAACAACAGCACAAAGTACCTACTAACAACAAAATAACCCAGCTCCTAACAACAACACAACCTACTTGACAAGACACTATACAAAACCAATGACAATAACAACTAAGCTAATGCATAAAACAACCCCTAAATCTGCACTAGTGTGCCTCATTGTCAGCATGACATATTGAGTGTTCATCTTCCTTGCATTACGATTCTCATCAACAATTTGTTTCTTCAGAATCTCATTCTCCAAGCTAATTGATTTCTTCTCTTCCAGCAGCCCAAAATTAAGTCCCTTTGCCAAATTGTCATTTCTTCATCATACCAAACAAAATATGTGCATCCCCTTGTATTGTTCTCCGCATCAAAGTATGGACAAGCTATAAACCTCCTACTAGGGTTTTCTTTTGTCCAGGACTTCATAATTGAACCCTTCAACCAACACTTGCATTTTCAACTCATTGACCTTGCCCCCCTAAACATCACCCTGTCACAATTATGGAGTAAACAAAAAAAATAAAAAAAATAAAACACTTAAATCACTTATTATGTTTAAATCATAATTTAATTCAAAGAAAAATACAATAGCCCTAATTAATCAACCAAAATCACAAACGAAAACCCTAAATTGAAAATTCCCTACAATACGTTAAACCCTAGAATCGAAAACAGTTAAACTAAATTTTTCATAGCGAAATTAAACAAATTGATCGTTTACCTAGATCGATTAGAGGATAGACGGGAAGAATTAGTGGTCAATATGGATAAACAATTTTAATTTGAGAGATTTTACAAATGATGAATTTTCTGAAGAAGGAGAAATGAATGAAAGGGGGAGGTTTAGTTAAGTTAGTTAGGGGTAACCATGGGTTAGCTTTTTTTTTTCATGGTTAAATTGCTTAACCATGTGTAAAATGTGAGTTAGTGACGTTATTAAGGACTTAAAGTGGATGTTGGTAGTAAAATAAAATTTCTTAAAATTTTTATGGTAGTAATTCACAAATTTTTTATTTCGCGATAGTAATTTTTAAAGTGGGTTTAATACATAGTAGTAATTAACAAATTTTCTTTGCTGTCACGTAATGTTACGCGCTGTTACAAAAATTAGTACGTATCTGTTTTTGTTTCTGATTAGCAGTAGCTCTCCATGAAAACCTCGCTGTGACAACAATGGCGGCAATCCGAAGAAGTTGTCCTCCTCCTCAATTCTTCTCCACCCTTCCATGGTACTCTCCACCACCACCACTCATTAGCGACCCCATACTCTCAACAATCTCAACCGCCATTAAATCCTCCAATGAAAAACCTCTTAAACGCCTCCTTCCTTCCCTTAAACCCCACCATATCAATGAACTCATCAATATCAATCCTCTCAAATTATCCCCACTTTCTCTCTTCAATTTCTTCACTTGGGTTTCTTCTCAATCTGGGGTTCGTCTTACTCTTCACTGTTACTGTAATATGGGTCATTTCCTCGATGCTCACAACCTCTTCTGTGAATTGGCCTGTATTTTTCGGGTTATCGTGTCTCGAAAAGGTAAGGATTCTGCTGTTTCGGTTTTCGGTGTTGTTCTTGAAACTAAATCTGCCTTTCATAGTAGTAATTTTGTGTATGGTGCGCTTATGAGCGCTTATTTAGAGTTGGGTTTTATTTCTGATTGTATTCAATGCTTTCGGTTGATTAAGAAGCATGGAATTTCATTACCTTTGAAACCATGTGCTCGTTTGTTTGCTCATTTGTTGAAGACTAAATCAGCTGAGACAGCTTTAGGGTTTTACAAGGAATTTTTGGATTATGGATTTCCTCCAAATGTGATTGATTTTAACATATTGATGAATAAATTTTGTAGAGATGGTAAAATTAGGGATGCCCAAATGGTGTTTTGTGAGCTTGGGAAGCGTCGATTAAAGCCTACGATTGTTAGTTTTAATACTTTGATTAAAGGGTATTGTAAAGTTGGCGAGTTGCAGGAAGGTTTCCGGCTGAAGGGGGTTATGGAGGATGAGAATGTATCGCCTGATATCTTTACGTTTAGTGCTTTGATTAATGGGTTGTGCAAGGTTGGTGGACTGGAAGATGCTAATGGTTTGTTTAAGGAGATGTGTGAGACAGGATTGGCCCCAAACGATGTCATTTACACTTCTTTAATCAGTGGACATTGTAGGCATGGGAAGGTTATTACAGGCCTCGGGCTGTATGGGCAACTGTTAAAGAAAGGCTTTGAGCCTGACTTATTTATGTATAACACGCTGGTTTATAGCCTTTGCAAAGACGGTGACTTGAGACAAGCAAGAAAGCTTGTGGATGAGATGTCTCTTCGAGGTTTAAAACCTGACAGGATCACTTATACTACACTTATTGATGGAAGCTGCAAAGAAGGTGATATTGAGATGGCTATGGACATTAAACATAAAATGGTCAGAGAAGGGATTAGCCTCGACGATGTAACTTATACTGCTCTTGTTTCTGGGCTATGCAGGCAGGGCCTTGTTTTGGATGCTGAAAAAACTCTTCGAGAAATGATGAGAGCAGGTTTTAAACCTGATAATATCACATATACTATGGTCATTGATAGGTTTTGTAAGGCCGGAGATGTGAAGATGGGTTTTAATTTACTCAAAGAAATGCAAAACAATGGCCTTGTTCCTGGGGTTGTGACGTATAATGTTTTGATGAATGGGTTATGCAAGCAAGGACAGATTAAGAATGCTAATATGCTCCTGGATGCAATGCTTAATTTAGGAGTGCCACCCGATGATATTACTTACAATATCCTCTTAGAAGGTCGTAGCAAACATGGAAATCCAAAAGAATTTGCTGAATTGCAAACTGAGAAGGGGCTTGTTAACGATTATGGTTCTTATACATCTTTAATTAATGAAATTTCTAGATCATCAAAAGATTATGAAAAGAGATGATTGGTACTCACAGTGAACTATAGAAGTTTTTCTATGGCTGTTGTCATCTTGCTGATGTTACCCCGGTTTTCGTTATGGGAGTAGATCAGAACAGTGATAACGTATCTCTTTGGTATACAATGTGAAACCTTACAACATCATATCATTATGGTACTTTTGGCTTGGTTGACTACATCAAATTATGTTTGATTGTCAGATTGAAAGGCGGTAAGCTCTTTGAACCTTTGATTCCAGATTCTTTAGTGACAAGTTCTCTTTTCATGATATTTATGAATATTGATTGCTAAGAACATATAAGTTCAAAGATTTTTGGATTAACGGAGAACAGATGTGGTGGTTAGTTGTTCATTGGTTTATTTATTTTGTTGTAAGAATATCTATAGTGGTAAGAAAATTAAATACCATGGAAAACTCTTTTCCTGCACCTTAAATCAAATAAATCAAATGTGTTTATAAAATGAACAATTAATTCTCTGTGACAGCAGTCATGTTAATCATTTTAATCTTCTTGATGCTGTTTGATCTTGCCTCAAAAATTTCACAACTGTATTAAGCATCTGACAGCTTAAAATGCTCTTATTATGCAATTTTCTGTGGAGTTGAATTCATGTAACCTATATAATCTCGCCAACATAAAGTAAGTTGAGATTTCTCATGACATGTCTTGCTGAAATGTTGTACCTTATGCATCTGTCTTGAATAGCTTTGATTGGCAGTTTCTATAGGAAACTGTTAGTTGTATCATTGTATGTAACGTTTGAGCCACTTGATCATTATCTTCTATTTTTAGAAGCTTTGCAAGAAAAAGGTGTTAAGATCTGGTGATGTCATCTGTCTTTACCTCATTTCATGCTTGTGCATTCTACTCCCTGGAAAGCTAAAAGGCTAATGTAGTTTTTCTATTATTTGACTGACCTCCTGCAAGTATGTAACACCAGAGATCTGCTCTGTTATCTGATTGTAAACTAACCTTGTATTTTTATTTTGTGGCAAGAGAGTAGCTCGTCAGAAGAAAGCAATGGATTGTCAGAGCGCAGTCTCTATGATATGTGACTTCTTATGTATGTCACTTTACGTCCTTTTTCAAGGGTTGAGGGAACTAGGATCAAGAGTTTATTGCCTTAAATCATAACAGTAAACACACTGGCCTACCCTGCTCAAACATCTTTGCTTTGTCCCTTTGTAATTTTGCATACTTCGTGTATCTGTATGGTGTGTACAAGTACCAACAAAAATTTTGTCGTCCTGCAAACCTATTTTGCAGTGTTCATGTCCAATATGGGAAGAAATATAGCGACCTTTAAAGGCTCTATACTTCATACAAATTGATAGATTTTGTAGACTTGCACTCTGCCAATCTGGGTTGTGCAGGGAAAAGGAAAGGACAAAAGGGATGATCTGAATATCAGGGTTCAAAGGAAATTGCTGGCCAAGAGTTATCTGAATGGACTGATTCATTACAGATGTATCTTGGTTACATATTGATACTTTTTAGAAAGGAGGATAGCACTTGGTACATTGGATTTTCGATTAGATTCAACGCTGGTGTTCCTGCTGCAACAGAGGTAGAAAGTATCAGAGAGGTGCCTGATTCAGGCATATTACTCATACCTGTTGCTGAAAATATCTTAAAGAGAGCATAAATGTCCTGAATTTTCTGTTATCCAGGATGGAGCAAATTTAATGGGACTTTTGTTGTCATCCTTAATGCTAGATGATCAGTAAATTAAGTAGCTAAGATATGGATGAAAGGAAGAAGACGCACTTACTCTCTTCAATTTATTTCAGTAGCTATAATTTGTTCTTGTTGGAGATTTTCAATGTTTGTTTACTTATTATTAAATATATTTAATTGTATTTTAATTAAATCTATGAAAATTATATATTAGTAAAGTACACAATGAGACAAAATCTATGAAAATTATATATTAGTAAAGTACACAATGAGACAAAATTAATAAGATCTCACTTTACATTGGTCTAAAAATAGAGAAAATATAAGTTTATCACCTTGATTAACAAGAGGTGGAATCAAATCGCCTGTTTCAGATGATTCGGATTTCAGAAATTAAGAATCTACAATACGGGGATTGTTTCCAGAATATAGGGAAAGGGGTGGGGGTGGGGTTGCTCCGACAGGGATGGGGTAGGCAAATGTAGGGTGGGGGAGTGTTTCAGGTTGGGATTCGGGATGGGGGAAGCCGAGAAGGTAGTCAGTTTGGAGGTATGGATGGGAGGATGGGAAGGTGGTCAATTTGGTGGTGATGGATGGTCATGGTGGTTAACATGGATGAAGGGGGTGAAGTGGAAGAAGGATTAAAGGAAAAAAAATTAAAAAAAAAAATTAACCTGTAAAACAGGTTGACGGTTAAAAGGCTTGTTTTGAGTATATGGGGTGTTAAGGTGAGATTATTTCCAGAATACATAAAGGTGAGATTGTTTTGAGAAGATGAGTCAAAGGTGGGATTATTAATTTCAATTTTTCCAATGGCAAAACTGTAAATCATTAAGTATTTATCAAATATGGGCCACACAGTTGTTGATATAATTACAAAATTGTCATGCTAACTAGACAATGGATTGATTTATTTGCCACTTTTATAAACAATTTTTTTTCAAATAAATAAACCGACGCTTGTCAAAACAAAAAATAAAATAAAATTAAAAAAAATAATATTTATTTACAACTTTACTCAACTAGAATATCTCCTTTAAATACACGCCCAGTCCATGTTTCCACACATGTCCACTATCGACTAAATCATAAAATAGTTTTCACCAACATAAATCCATGGAAAACGTCAATCAAACAATTCTAGAGTTTCAATTCTTTGCCATAGTGTTTCGGGGTTTTTTGATGTCCTTTGGGAGAGTTACAATTCCAAGACTGACCTCTGGACGCCTATACCTGCAAAACAACGGAGATTCCGGTGGGAGGGAGCTCCGCCTCCGACAATCAAGTTAGAACATGTATGAGGAGTAATGTGCGGAAAGTAAAGGGTCTCTCTCGGATTCCAAGAGAGGTTCTGCAATGTGTATTTGCTCAATGTGAGGTGTCAGGTGTCTGACTTTCTCTGATGAAGAGTTAATGTGTATTGAATATTTCTGAATGAATTAATTCTCCATTTAATGGAGGCTAATCATCTGTTTTTATAGCCTCGAAGTACGTGCCCAATACTAAGTTAAATGGAAAACCTAGGACTGATTGGGCTTGCCTCGGGATTTGGGCCTTTGACGGCCGTTTTCTAGGTTGGCAGATTATAGGCCACGTGGCATGGCCTGATTAGTCAATGCTGGACGTTTCGAAGTGTGACATGTGGCGGACGCTGATTGGTCCACGTGGCGGACACGTGGCAGGTCCGGATTAGTCCATTTGTCATGAGTATTTTTACCCTAATCATTAGCCTCTCAGAAGGAGTAATCTCTCTTTCCAGGAGGATTGTTCCTTTCGAAAGTTAGACCCCCGAAGCCTGTTAGGTCGGCATTTTGTCTAGTTCTAATGGAAGATGGACTTGATAAACTTAGAAACTTTTGATACCTTGGGCGGTATGACATTTTCAAAGTTAATCAATCATAATGATGATTGTCGTCGTACTAGACAGATGCCGATTCTTAGCCCCACTATGCAGATAGCCCCTGATCAGGTGGACTGTCGACTATTGAATGGGGGGTAAGCGTTTAATATTATCCGGCCGTTGGCCTCTTTTGGTTCGTTCTTTATATGAAATGCTGGGTTACAGGCGGCAGCTTAAGTATAGCCAACCTAGTAAGAATAGTGGTCGAGTACCTCTGTTTGCCAAAAACCAGCGGACTTCTCATACCTTTTAGGTTCCGTACTAGGTTGGTTGAGTGACTATGAGTTAACCTTGGGGTTACCCAGTCTCCGTCACTCGGGTTTGAGTAGTAGAAGAATTAGGCGGCTTAGGCCGGCTGACCCCCTTTATTCGCCAAGTTGTACTTGGCTATTAACTCAAATTGTGCCAAAATGTTTCGGCATGGTTTTACAGGGCTTGGTGTAATTCACCAAGTTTGATGGGGACAGGCCGTCTGTTTCCGTGAACGGGACGCCTAGCCGGAGTAGCTACGCCTGTATTGGTTGCAGGCGGTAACTTCTGTCAGATCTAGTAGGAATAGTGGTCGAGAGCCCCTGTTTGCCAAAACACAGGCGAACCTCTCATACCTTTTATGTTCCGTACTAGGGAGGGCAACTGGTTAACCTTGAGCTTAGTCAATCACCGCCACTTTGGTTTGATTAGTAGAGGAATCAGGCGGCTTAGGACGACTGACCCCCTTGATTCGCCAAGTTTTGCTTGGCTATTAACTCAAAGGGTGCCAATTTCCAACCTAGTAGGAATAGTGGTTGAGTATCACTGTTTGCCAAAAATCAGGCGGACTTCTCATATCTTTTAGGTTCCGTTTCGGGGTTTTTTGATGTCCTGCGGGAGAGTTACAATTGTCTCCTTGCGCCTGTACCTGCAAAACAACGGAGACTCCTTGTGGTGGGAGTTCCGCCTCCGACGGTCAAGTTAGTACTTGTTTGAGGAGTAATAAGTGCGGAAAAAGTAAAGGTTGGGAGATCTTGTTCCTCTAAGGGAGGAGTGATCAATGTGTTTAGGTTCTCTAGGTGAGAGTCATTAATTGCCGAATCCCCTTTAATGAGGATTAATGAAGGTATATATATGCCTTGGGATGCGTGCTAGTCCTAGGTTTAGGTCAACCTAGGGCTGATTGGGCTTCCACAAGACTTTGGGCCTAGGTGGCCGGTTTTCCCACTTGGCATGGGGGAGGCCACGTGTCATGGCATAGGAGGTCCAAGGTGGACTAGTCAACACTTGACACGTGGCAGACTCCAATTGGTCCATGTGGCGGACACTTGGTAGAGCCTGAATGGTCCACTTGTCAGATGATGATTGGTAGGGAAAAATCCCCTAATCATTTTCCCCTCACAGGTGGCACGTGACTGTTCACTTGTCACCTGTAACAGGTGTCGGCCTGTAACAGGCGACAGCCTGCTACAGGTGTCGCCCTATGACGGGCCGAGCATTTTTCCCGCTCATTTTTTGTATTCAGGAGTGACCCTTCGCATTCTCAATTTACCCTATTTAAGGGCATGTTGACCAAGTCTTTTGTTCACATTTGCGAACTTTTTCAAGAGAACTCTCGGACCCCTGAACTTGAGCTCTGACTTTCCGGACGACTGCTTTTACCTACCGCCTGTTTTTGTTGGACGCCTGTTTGATCAAGCTTTCTTTCAGAACTTAAGTTTCAGGTAACTGTCTGTTCCTTTATCCTTTTTCTGTTTTGCTTTTGCACTTTTTCTTTCTTTTTTGAAAATGAGACCTCAAAAGCATCCGGCACGACCTAGGTTAGCAATCAGCCAGTCACCGGGGACGGCTAAGTCTAGGACTAGGGGTGCCGATTGCCCTGCGGTACTTCAAACTTTGCGCAAGTCCCGGAATCCAACTGTCTTTGTATCTATGCAGGACCGAATGGCAAGAACAAAAAAGACCAAGAGGATTGAAAACTCTGATGGCTCCCCTTTCCGGGTTCAAATTAGTGAGCTGTCGGACCAGCCGCCAGATACCGCAGGGACCCAAGGTGGCCCTTCTGCCGAGAGCTCTGAGGAGGTAGCTAAAGTAGCCCCTTCCCACTTCACTGTTGACCTGGCCAGTCAGCAGACGGCCCTTGAAGAAGAAGAGGGGTCGACCCCCCAGGGAGAGGGGAGGAGTTGGACTCTTCTGATAGTGAGCCTGACTCTAGCTATTCAAGCCGCCTCTCTATAAACTCAGAGGAAAGACATTCTTGTTTGCATGAGGCGAGACTTTCTCATGCGACTGAAAAGGAGGACGACTGGTCGGAACCATCCGTGTAACACCCCCAAATCTCCCTCTACAGAATATGTTGAAAATATGTATACCGTAGAGATAGACTGGGGCGTATTACCGCCGCGTGATAACGCAAGGCTTATACTTTAAAATACTTTTACAGCGGAAATTCTTTATTCTTATTAATTAAACTTTAAATAAAACTTGTTCATAATTTGTGACACAAAAATGACTCCAACTTTTCCTAAGCTAGGCGAAATTCCCGTGGACTCCCGTATGCATTAATCAACTTCCACCTGAAACATTTACCTGCTTACCATAAATGGTAAACATGACAAATCCAAAAAAAAAGCACGTATTAGCAAATTATGCTAAGTAGATTATGTGTAAGATAAGTAAAACATAATTTATATCATTTAAGTTTAATTCATAAGAATTCCAATGCCATACTCATGTAAGAGCTTTTCCAATTCAATTCTTTCAAGACAAGTTTAAAACTCAATCGATTACGTTCCAAAACCAATTCCTCACTAAGTGTGCACACCCCTCAAGTGGTTTACTTTATTAACAAAGGCCAATCTTGAGGAAAGGCTAGGTCATGCAAAGTCCATAGCCTTCTCTAATCCATTCCTTAAGTGGGATTCATAACCATGTCGATTAATGCTCAAAAGCACCTTTTAAAAAAAATCCGTTATACTTGGACATCAATAAACTTGTAAACCATTTCCAATCCTTTTTAATAATTTCAATCATGATTCAAAGACTCCTTTATTTTAAATCAAAAATATTAATTTCAATCCGACATAATTTCATAATTTCATACGGAACGTAATATCATAATTTCATACGGAACATAAAGTATAATCTCATACGGAACGTAATAAAATATGATTTAATACGGAACATAATAAATTATAATTTCATAATAAATCATAGTTTTCATACGGAACATAAAATATAGTTTCATACAGAATACAAACAAATATAATTTCATAATTTCATAGTCAACTTTCGAAGGTATCAAACCACATAACGTACCTTAATTCCGAATATCAA